AACAAAAAAGTTTTGAAAAACAGATACATCATTTCTTGGATGATGCACAAATTTCAAAACAAAAGAGGTTTCATAAATTTAAATTATGGGCCTATCAGTACAATCTTCGGGGGGTCTCTAAAATTACTGAAATGCAAGTCTCCCTCTTCAGTCAGGTAAGCAGGAAGCAGATAAGAAAAAAGTTTAAAGTAAGGAGAAAAAAAATCACATGGTGCCAGGAAGTTACTCTTAGATGTAAAGTTCTTTGCAAGCTTAATTCCACTGTTTAGATGAGGCAGGAAGCAGTTAGATTGTTGTTCTAAAGTTACAGCTGAGGCAGCTATGGGTTCAACTTCACACTCCAGTTCTTCAGTCAAGGGGGCACAGGCCATTCACACCTCCTCTCCATTTGGGTCTTCAAGACAGATACGTTTCTGCTGGGCCAGGGAAGCAGGGGTGATGCAGAAAATCGACGTCCTCCATCTGGGAATTGGAGTATGATTTAGTAAACCCACTAGGTTTAATCAACTGGGATCAGATTAAAGTAAAAAGAACATCATCTTGTGGTTGTAAGTCCTGTTCCGCTGGTGTTGAGAGTCCATATGCCTCCTTGCTGGGGGGTGTCGCTCTTTTTTGGTATCTCTTTTTTGATACCTCTAGGAATTTCCTTTTTGGATACCTCTTGGAATCACCTATTCTTTGTATTTCCCTTTTATTTCAATGGAACTATGAGAACACCAAGAAAGGCTTGTTCGCCTTTGTCTGAAGAACTGGAGTGTGAAAAAACCCGCAGCTGCCTCAGCCATAACTTTGAAACCACCACCTCACCACCACAGCTGCCTCAGCCATAACTTTAAAACCACCACCTCGCCGCTTCCTGCCTCATCTAAGACAAGTGTGCCTGGCGAAACTCCTCTTGCCAAAAACTTGACATCTAAACGTAACCTTCTTGCAAACCCCATCTTGCCGTGAACATTTCGACTTTTGGTGCTTGCTTTGAAGAAGTGGGATTTACCCATGAAGCTTGCATATTGTTTGATTTTAATTTTTTTATTACTAGCCTATAAAGTTGTTGCCTATTCTTGCATCTTAATTTTCAAAACACTACAAAATCGACAACAGAGATTCGCAGTATCCCTTTTATTATGGAACATGCATCAAAGCTGCAGTGTAATTGCACAGAAAACTACACTAGCAAAGTAGAAATACAGGCAACATTTCAACTTCCAACACTTTCTCCCTTAAAAATGAGGTCAAGTTATGTGAAGCAAATGCTTTGGAAAGGATGCTTTTATGAAGAAGAAAAATCTATAACTAGGTTTCCATGTTTTGTTTTGTTTTTAATATGTCAAAGGACTCACCTAATGTGTACGTCAAAGGATTTGCTTAACAAATTTTAATCCACAATGATCCAGCCTTCCCCCCAATGAGGCAAAATGTGTATGCGTGCGTGCACGCACACACATACACAATTGCTGCAGCAAAGAATTGTGAATTTCATTAAATATGTTAACAGGGAAAAAAATTCAGCTTGAAAAATAGTAATCCTGTCTTTCAACAAAAATATTATAGGAAGCTATGAATTTGGTAGATCTGAATAGGCTGTTGGTACATGTTTTACTAAGGTAATATAATGGCACACTATTATTAGATCACATTAATCATTACTATGCCAAAGGCAGTGACAGCCCCACTGAAAAGGATTGAAAGGGCTGGTAATGGATATAAATTACCCATTGTGTGATAAAAGGATTTTTACTAAGAAGGTAAGAATAAAACAGCAAATTTCTAATATAACTGTTGTGCATGGAAAAACCAAAATAAAAGTAATCCTGTTGCTAATATCCACAAAAATCAAACTAAGCACTTCTTGAAACAAGATAAAGTCACAATTTTAAAAAAAAGGATGCAGTGTGAAATTAATTTCTTGGCATCTAATATTGCTATCAGTTTAAATGGTTTATGGGATGACCTCTAAGGAATATGGTCAAAAGGAAAGGTAGGTTTTGCTAATTAGAACTGAAGACGGTTTTATGCAGATTCATTTAAGCCCCTTAGCAAAATCAAATGTGTATTGTCAAGAACCCCAATATTGCATGCCATTTTGGTTTATATATTCCAAGCACTTTGTATACAGAAGCTATAATATCAAGTACTGAATCCTTGATACAACAGAAATCTCCCCCAGATTTCTTTCTTCTTCTTTTTCAGTATTACCATTGAGAGCTGACTTGATTTAGCATCAAGGGTGACACTGGAAAAATACCACAAAGTATGGGACTAATACACATATTTAGTCAGCTTAAAGTTAGCTCAATTTGCATATTACTAATATGTTCCCAATGGACTGGACAATACAGTGGTGCCTCGCTTAACAACGTTAATTTGTTCCAGCGAAATTGCTGTAGAGCGAAAACGTAAAGCGAAATAAAAAAGCCCATTGAAATGCATTGAAAACCGATCAATGCATTCCAATGGGCTGAAAACTCACTGTCCAGCGAAGATCCTCCATAGGGGCAGCCATTTTCAGTGTCTGTAGAGCAAGGAATCCATCCAAAAACACAGCGGGGAGCCATTTTGAGCAGCCGGAGGCCATTTTGAAAACCCAACAATCAGCTGTTTTGATCACTGTAATGCAAAGAATCGGTTCCCGAAGCAGGGAATCAATCTTTGCAAAGCGAAAAAAACCATTTAAAACATTGTTTTGCGATCGCAATTGCAATCGCTAAAACATTGTCATGAAGCGGATTCGTCGTTATACGGGGGTAATCGTTAAGTGGGCCATGACTGTATATGTGATCATTGTTCCCAATGAAGAATATATGTGATCATTTCAGAACAGTTCTCATGACATGATTCTACATATGTTTACTTGGTTGTAAATCACATGGATTTCAATAGGGACTACCCCAGTTCATAGCTGATTCTAAAAGAATGTTTTTAGTTACTGGTATATTGCTGTGCTGTACATAAAAGACCTAGAAGGCCAAGGCTCTCAACACAATTTATTTTGGACCATTACATACTTTGGTAAGTTCATGTTTGATTTCAAATGGATCAAAAAAATCTGGTTTATCACTGTTTTCAGCAGTGTCCTTCATTATTACAGTGATAACACAAGTTTGAGCCAATGTCCTATTTCAGTTTAAATGCTAATATGTGATTTCAAGAGACTACCCCACTCCAATATCTGTTCAGTCCTGCAAAGGAGATTCCACAGGAAATTCAGAAAGATGCAATTCTGGCAAACGATTTAGGATAGAAAAACGAGAAGACCCAATATGGCTCATTTAGGATCAACATTCCAGATTACAAGGGCAGCCAGGAAATCTTTCAGGAATCTGGCAGAGCCAAAGGATCAGAGAGCTAGTTTCAACAAGAACTTGGTTATAATTGGATATCTATGCTAAAACTGGGAAAGTACCAAATAATGGTGTAGTGGAGAGGAGAGTATAAGCTCCCGAGGAAGCCAAAAGGGTTATATTATGGCCACAGGATATTCAATCTTAGAGGCACCACCCTACCTTACAGGCTTCACTCTCATGTTGAAGGGTACACAACTTTAAAGGGGCAAACTTTGGGCCTCTAATCATCATGAGGCATGGCTTGCCTGTCTTGGTGAGCAATGCCTCTCTCAAGTATTAGCATCCTTGCCCCTCAATAAAGCCAGTCTCAATGACAGCTGTCTGTTTGGGACTCGGAGAATGAAGGAACCTTGGGATCACAAGAACCCTGTTCATTAGACTTGAGCTAAATGGTGGGGCTCAGACTCAGTACTTACACTGATATGTTCATTTCTATGACCATATGTCATAGAAAGAAATATATAATGTATTCCTGAATTCCAAACATGGCCATATGTACAGTAGGTTATGTCTGGACTTCAAGATTACATTATATGTTCCTTGACTCACAAATCATTTCCTTTGTCAAAAGGAAGAACATTTGGAACATTACTTTTGCATTTATCTTTTCCTATTTTTAAGTTTAGGTCTAAACTCTACAAGTATTCAAAAACAGTCTTCAAGGCCCCTAGCTTGTCTGTTTACATAGAGAGAAATGAACATTAGCATGAAACTTCGGTGTCTCAAAGTCTTCTAGCCCAACATTAAGTTTAATGTGTTCTTTCTCATATTGTATCAGAAATAACTATGAGATGTTTCCAGGCATGGATTCTAGTGCTAGCCTCGTAGCCACAGGCAAACAGGGATTCCATGCAAGCAAATGTAAGGACAGTGGAAGGCTAGAGCACTCTATCTCTCCTCTGGATCCAGTTTAAAAACAAACAGGCTGCCAAAGGACAGAGGATCTCCTCCTCATCCAGAAGAAATAAGCAGCACTTTCTTATTTCTCTACCAACCCCATCTGGCTAACAATAAAAGAAATGGGTTAAGTCTGGGTTTTTCCATGCATGCTGCATATTTCAGATACAGATAGCAGCAATTTGCTAAAATGATATACTGGAAAAGAAGTATTTTATACACATTACACACATCTGAACTGAAACTATCATAGGACAGCAATCTTGAGATACTATTTATTTATTTTATTTATTTATTTATTCGATTTTTACCCCGCCCCTCTAGACAACGTCTACTACTATTGTTTTAGGTTCCTGACCTTGGATCCCTGGATATTCTTGAACTAGAGATCCCAGTAATCCTGGCTAGCACAGCCAGTGAAAAAGGCTTTTTTAAAGTCCAAGAACATCTGGGGGCCCAAAGTGGCAAACTACAGTTTTACAAAAATGTGTCCACAAAGGTTTCCTGTTATAAAAGCAGCATCAGCAGTGGTCATGAGGTGTATTTAAGAAGAACATGATCTGTTAGCCGAAGCGCAAGATTTAAAGTAGATTTTCCTTCGAAAATTCAAATGGGAGAACACGCAAAAAGAGAGGAGTTTTTAAAATTACCTTTTTTTTCTTTCCATATGTACATATTCCATTGAAAAGCCACTGGCATTAATTTTCTGCCATTCATAAAACAGATAAATTATAAAAAATATAACAAAATCATTCTTACCAGGTTCATCAAACTTCTACAAATCTTTTCCTTGGCTGTAAGATCTTGTCTGAGATGCGGGCAAGGACAGAAGATCAGGAACTGCAAAAACAATACCTGCAAGAAATTTAAAAAAAATGTAAAACCAATGTATTTAAATTAAAACCAATGCAACCTAGAACATTACCTTTACGCTATATTTAAAGGTGTGTGTGTGGGGGAGGGGGAACAGAGGAGGACATAAGCCACAAAATAAATATGAATATTTAGAATCTTGTGATCTTTTTATTTTATTTTACTTTTCCCAAAGCAATTTCTTCAGTTTTTAACAATTGTGCTGAGAAGGGAAAAATATGGTTCAAATATTATGGCAAAGAATAGGTAGAAATCTTTATTATCATGATCCAAGATGAGAAGAAAACCAATTACCACAGAAACCAAGTAGTTTGACACAGATATTGCAGTATCTCATACTAAAGCGAGGGAGGGGGAGCTACAATATACAAATTAGTTCTATTATAAATAAGTAGTCCTTCACATATAATTGTAGCTAATAAGATGCATTTACAAGAGAATACCACATACCACCCCTCTTATTTTAGAATATCCAAGCCAACATACATATCCTTTTACTGTAAAAAAATTGAGACCATAAAAAGCAAGATCTTAAGATCTTAAAAAGCAAGAACAGACAACCACAAAATTCCAACATTATATGCTAAATGCAAAAGATCTCTGTCTAGAACCAAATACTTTTAAATGACCCAAATAATTGCTTCAGTAATATAATAAAAATAATTTTAGGAAGTCTACAGATGTTATATTTGAAGGTCTTCATTATGTTCCTCTAGGGTTTTCAAAAAGATCCTGACAAAAAAATCAACTTTCCAAACATCAATTTAGATACCTACTTTGACAAACTACTGTACCAACTCTGTATAGGGTCACCGAAACCTTTTAGATCTTAGATTACAAAAGCTTGCAAGCATCTCTTCAAGAAGCAGATGGGTTAATAATCTCAATTTTTTATACCCAAGATATATTCATATATAGAAAATAGTCTATGAAACTGACCATATTTCGAGAACTGAAATTGATATTTCAATCTTTGCTCAATTCTGAAATTTGAAAAATTTAGTTAGTAACAGTATTCGAGTTGCGTTATTATGTTAAAGGATGTAATAAAATATAACAACCCAACAGTTAATAAACCCCAACAGTTTAACAGAGACGCATATCCAATATATATACTACTGCAGAAACAAGTCATTCATCTCTTGGTGAGAAAGCATTGTGCAAGTTTGTAGTTTATGCATGAGTTACTTAGAAACAGTCTCACGGTGTTAAGAATTTAAGGAGACATAATTACCACACCAAAAGTCTAGAAACCCACTCAGACTTGAAGTCTATCAGCTCAGAGAAATCTGCCTTTATCTCACATTTGACAACTGTAAACCTAAGGCATGGGCAAACAGGTTTTCGCCAAACAGATTTTCCTCGACTGCAATTATTACTAGACTAATCTGCATAACTAACAGCCTTCAATGATGAATAATACCAAGAGAGTCACAAGATGCTTAGCTTGGGCATAATGGAAACTCACAAGTAGGGCTTAAAGCTGTGGTGGTCATAAACTACCCTTAATTTTTTTTTTCTGAGCCTAACTTTCATATAGATGGGCCTAGTTTCAAGGTAAATGTATCTGGCTACTTCGGCCTTCTTAATAACTCAGCTTGTAAGCGATACAAACCCAGAAAGTGAAAACTGGACAATAATTAGACATGATTAAATATCATGTAGGCTCCTTTGAAGTCACAGGGATCTAACTCACTTTTATTATAGCTAAATCTATACTTCTAATAATATTTTAGTTTTCAGTTCTACAATCACCTAACTGAATTGTCATGTTTAATTGTACTGCTGTATTTTATTTATTATTATCATTATCATTATCATTATCATTATCATTATTATTGTTGTTGTTGTTGTTGTTGTTGTTGTTGCTGTTGCTGTTGCTGCTGCTGCTGCTATCATCATCAACAACATGATGATGATGATGATGATCATCATCATCATCATCATCATCATCACAATCATCATCACAATCATCACCAAATGATATATTCTGGTATGAAGAAAACCTTATAATTCCAAGGATCCGTGCGGGAAGTATGCCTATATATTACGCTTCAATGAAGCCAACTCCATTTCCTGTCAGCTCCCACAAGGCTTTCTGCAATCACAGATATTCATACTTAAAACTGTTTTAAACTCACTTTTCTGCAAACGAATCTTATCTGTCATGCTGCTGCTGCTGCTGTTACGTGCCATCAAGTTGCCTCTGATTCATGGCAACCCTTTGAATGAACATTCTCCAAAGTATCCTGTCCTCGGCTGCCCTTTTGAACCGAAGGCTGCGGCTTCCTTTAGGGCAGTGGTTAGCTTTCACCACTAGTTGTGCTTGCCAAGATATCTGGGAGTTGTAGTCCTAGAACATTTGGGGACCCAAGGCTGGGAACCACTGGGTCCTTTACGGAGTCAATCCACCACATATTTGGTCTTCCACTTTTCCTGTTGCCTTCAACATTTGCCACCATTGTTGTCTTTTCCAGAGAATCCTGTCTTCTCATGATATGCGCAAAGTATGAAAGCCTCAGTTTCATCATTTTTGCCTTCAGAGATAGTTCAGGCCTGATTTCATCTACAACCTGTTTGTTTGTCTTTCTGGCAGTCCAAGGTATCTGCAAAGCTCTGCTCCAGCATCATATTTCATTTTTTTCCTGTCAGCTTTCTATACTTGTTCTTGGTCTCCAGTGACACATCCTCACACTTGATATTTTCTAATTTCGTTATTGCTGCTCTTCTCAGTTTCAGTCTCCTGATTCCTTGGCTGCAGTCTTCATTCAGATTGATGGTAGAACCAAGGTACACAAAATCTTTCTAATATCAGTTTCTTCATAGTCTACTTTAAAGTTGTGTAGTTCTTCTGTAGTCATTATTTTTGTCTCCTTATTGTTAAACTGAAGTCCTGCTTTGGCAGTACCTTTTTTCATTTTCACTAAAAGTTGTTTCAAGTTATTCCTGTTTTCTCCCAGTGAGATAGTGTCATCTGCATATCTTAGATTATGGATGTTTCTTCTGCAAATTTTCACTCCTTCCTCATCTAAATCTAGTCCAGCTTTCCGTATGATATGCTCTGCACACCAATTGAACAGGTAAGGGTCTAAAATGTACCACTATTTGACACTTTTGCCTATAGGAAACCCTATTCTGTCCTATTAGTAGTTTCTTCTTACACATTAGGATGATGAAGTGCTGAGACACATCCATTTATTTCAGAATCACCCAAAGTTTTTCTTCTCTACACAGTCAAAGGCTTTGCTGTAGTCCAAAAAGCATAGACCGATCCTCTGAAATTCTTTGGTGCACTCCAGTAGCCAGTGGATATTTGCAATATGACCTTGAGTGCCTATGCCTTTTTGAAATCCAGCTTGAACATCTAGAATTCTCAGTCCATATAAGGCAAAAGCTTTTGCTGCAACACCTTGAGCATCACTTTGCTTCCATTGGGAATTAAAGCAATAGTTCTATAATTACTGTATTCCTCGGCATCTCCTTTCTTGTAGAATACATTTTTTTAAAAAAAAAACATTATTAGTCTTTCAATTGTTGGCGTGCCATTATAGGATCTGTTTTAAAAAATGAAGGAAAAAAGGAAATGAGATTTTAGATTTTGGTTACAGATAGTAGGAATCTTCACTTTTTTTAAAAAAAGGCTTGTTTTGAGTGTTTGTGGCATTCATCAGCAAGACACCGTCTCTTCCAATCTCTTCTTCCAGTACATGACTTTGACTGAAGCCTAAAGTTTAAAACCTGAAAGTGATTTAATGCCTATAACACAGAAATTCGTGAACAAGCTGGGGAATGCATCTTTGCATCTTTCAGCTAAAATACTAAATAGCCCACAGACAAATTTAACTCGTCTAATGTCATTCTGAAGCTTCCATACAAGCAGAGTGAAAGAAATGTATTCCAAAGGTGGTGTGAAAATGCAAGAACTTGAAAGCTATCAGGATGGCATTTCCAATAGCACAAAGAAGACATTGTGGGAGGGCTGGTTTTAGATCAGGAACAAAAGAGTATGAGCCATCCCAAGGATGTTTTCAGATGCTATCCAAGGCACCTCTGGGAACGATGCCACTGGAATGGAAACCACAGCGCCACATTTTGACAACTCACTGGAGAACTTCATTTAAAGCAACCATTTTGCTGGCTTGAAATGGCCTGTAGTTTTTTGCAACCAAATTGTGGTAGAAAACAAGGGAAGCCCCGTGTAAAGCAAGTGTGTTGCTTGGCATGGCTTGTGGTGCTTTGCTGCCAAATTTAGTGTCTGTTTTAAATGTTTAAATTTGCAGCAAAAAAACCCATCAAATAAAATATCTAACAATTTGGATGCCAATTTTGAGATGTATACCAAGGATACTTTAATAGAATGCAACAAATAATGAAGTTGTAAATGTGCACCATGTATATCATTCTGCTATGCTCCTCAGGGAATCCAATTATTGTAGCTCCTAGTCAAATGTACATTCAGTAGCAAATACTGAATCCCACTTATAACGTGTGAAATAAACCAGAGTAAACAACTACAGAGAACACGAAAAAGAAAGTTACAGGGAAAGGCAAATAAAGGATCATAACACATAAAAATAACTCTGCACTTGAATGTATCCTAGAAAATTAATTCCCAGGATAGTTCAGCCGGAATGGTCACTGGTTGGAGATCTTGGGAACTATGGTCCAAAAAAGTAACTTTTCCAAGGCCTGTTCAAATGCAGACATGTTAGCTCCTTTCCATGCTAGTATTCATCAACAAAAGGACTGTAAATATTAGAAACATCAAGCTGCTTCCAAAAGTATAGCACAACTATAATATTATTCTTCCAAAGAGTGGCTGTAAGTCATTATATCGACTCAAATGAGGGTTATCAGGAATATAAAAAGATGCTAAAAGAATTGTGAGCCAATGTGGTGTAGTGGATATAGTGATAGACGAGAAGACCTCAGTTCTAACCCCTGCTTCAACATGGAGAGTCATTGAGTGGAGGTGGCAAAGT